TATATATATATATATATATGGGAAAAGTGAATCTAAGGTGACACCCTAGGCTCTCACCTAAGGACGCGGCCTAAAATCACATCATTTCCTATTTTTTTTGCGATCCGTTCCGTTGAACTTGATCTACACGTTCTTAAACCTAAACACACCAATTTTGGGTTGAACCCGTCGTGTTTTGACCCTTTATCCACTCGCTGTAATTTTAACGGTTTCGAATGAATAGAACTTTTTGTACGGCTCAACGAATGGTCAAAACACAACGGGTTCACCCCACAAATAGTGTGTTTCGGTTTAAGAGCGTGTAGATCAAGTTCAACGGAGCGGATCGCAAAAAAAATTTAGGAAATGATGGGATTCTAGGCCGCGTCCTTAGGTGGGAGCCTAGACCCCGTTTGGTAAGCGGGAATGAGGTGGAATGGAATGACGTTCTCACTTCTCATTCCCTCATACCAAACAAAATTTGTTTTTAGATGTTGGAGTGACCATTCCCATGGAATGATCATGACCATTCCCATGGAATGGTCATGACCACTTTTTGTGGGAATGAGCATTCCAAGTGAGAAGATAGGGAATGCTCATTCCCATTAAAGGGGAGAATCAAATTAGTTAGGTTTTTTTTAATTATACCCCTATTAATAATAAGAATCAATTTAAAAATAATGGTTTTTGACTACGTATTCTCATTTTCTAACATCTACTAATTATATTCGAACAATAGGAATTTTTTGCGGGGTAAGGATTAAAACTAGTGGTACATATTTCAGTAGCATATTAAAACCAGCGGTACATATTTCATTAGCCTATTATATCACAATTGCTCAACATAGGAGCAACACAATTTAATATAAAAACTGTTGACATATTAGTATTAGTTAGGGACTTATTTGTAAGTTGTGTAGGGGCCTATATAAAGCCCCAAGAGATCTCATAATGAATTAGGGTTTCTATTTTAACTTGGTATCAGAGCCTTCTCCAAACCCTAGCCGCCGCCACCCCACCCCACCCCCTCCACACCCGGCT